GGGAAATCCAAATTTACTGTGACTCTTCTGTTTTGAACCCTGCAGCTCATTGACGGCCTTTTTATTTTGTGTTCTGCACATTTTGTCCTGGTTTGTATTTCATGCTCCTCTTTCTTCTTCCTCCTTAGCATCCTGGACTCCTCTTCTCCCTCCTCCTCCTCCCCCAGAGATGAACCTCAATCTCCACCCTCCTTCCTCCACTCCTCCCCCATTGGTCCCGCCTTTCCTCTGGAAGCCACTCCCACTCTCAGCCCTTCACATGCAGAATTCTTCCTCCACAGCCCGGCTTCTTCCTCCTCCTCCTCCTCATCCTCCTCCTCCTCCTCACCGTACAGTCTCCTGTGCCGAGCAGCGGAGCCCGACTCCCCGACAGGATGTAGTTCCAGCGGTGGAAGTAGCGCCTTGGTGTCGGAAGCGTCGCTGTGTTTTTCTGTATCGGACTCGTTTTCAGCGCAGGTGAAGTTTCTGTTTAATCACATTTAAAAACACAAACACTCTTAAAGTCTGAACGACCACGTCTCCGGGGTCGAACTGCCAAACTTCAAATTCACATCCGTATCCGACTGTTCCTGGAAGTTTTCTCTGGTGCCCCAAAAGTCTTTAATCTGCAAAAGTTAATCCAGACTAGAGTCAGAGCTGAAGGTTGAGGTACCTGCTGAGCTCACTGACATCCAAATAAAATCCTCGAACGTCACTAAAACTGGAGCTCCGCCTTCATTGAGGTGTGTTAGTACAGTAACCTCACAGCAGTCATGTGATTGGCCATTAAAAACACCACTCAAACGCAGCCCCGAGGTCCAGTCCAGGAACAGTTAGCTGAGGTCTGTGGCGACCGTCTTACTGCTCGCCACTGATGATGACGTCGTATATCTGCAGGTCGACTCGATCCTGAGGGGCGACTACATGACCTCGATGGGGGCCGTGGGGCCCAAAAGGCTGTGTCTGGTGTGCGGAGACTTCGCCTCCGGGTATCACTACGGCGTGGCGTCCTGCGAGGCCTGCAAGGCTTTCTTCAAGAGGACCATCCAAGGTGGGAGGAGCACGTTCATCATCTCCTGTATAAAGAAATAAAAACATGAGGATGATGATATATTTATAAAATATAATTCTTACTATTACTAGTTTAAACGATGCTGGTGGTTTCTGACATCAGGCTGTTGATATGCTTTTTACACATCTCGTGTGTGAAACCTCCAAATATG